AGGCTGCACAGGCGCGGCCGGTGCTACCGTTGGGATCCGGCGGCCGGTTTAATGTTTAAGGGGCCTCTGTGAGGTGGAATGTCGGAAAGAAGCGCCAAGAGGGCAGGGATCTGCTCAGGGGCTGCCCTAGTGCAAACGGCGGCTGTGCTCAGCAACTCCCATCTCCTGGCGCACTTAAACCTCTGTAATTCACGCTTAAACCTCTGCAATTCGCTTCTACATCCTAAGGAGACAATTGTGTAGCAGTAGCAGATGTGTTTATCAAGCCGAAAACGGGGCGTTTGTTACAGATAGTTTCTATAAAAACGAAATGCCTCTGCGCTAGGCTGAGAGATCTGGTTATCCGCAAAGTTTATATAAAATTAATAGATTTCTTGCCAAATGGACAAAGCCACTTTTCTAAAAGCGAGGGGAGTTTGAGGAGTGCATGTTTTGTCCAGGCGAGCAGAAAATGGCAGTGAATTTGGGGAAGGACAATTACGGACCTGCCCAGTGTTTCTAATTAAATGAGGAGTTAGAAAAACACAGATTCGGTTTTTTTTCCTCTCAATTTATCTCTCGGTTTACCAATTCTCCTTGCAGTGCTCTTTTAGCTTCTCAGACAAACGTTTAGGAAACTTCTGTGATGTTGAACATCAGAAGGAAACACAAATATGCCAGGGATCTTTTTTCTTTCTAAAATTATATCTTTACACCTCAGTAATTCCTGAGAGGACTCATGCGCATAGAAATGACTTTATCCAAATATGTTACATGGTTATGGCAAAGAAAATATAACATATCCTTCTCCAACCATGAGGAAACACAGTAATTGGATTAAGTAAAATTTAAATATGCAATTACTTCATTGTAACATTTTATCGTAAATATTTAGCGTATTTATATAAAATATTAATTGTTTTTTTATAAGATTCTGTTTGATCTAATACCTCTTCTGCTTAGGAAAAAAACTTTCAGAGAACAATGTTGTTTACACAGACGTGTGGAGATGGAGATATGTGTATATATATTATATATAATATAGATATAGTTTTCCAAGGGAGTAGGACAAGACAAGTCATTGCGCTTGTGGTCCATCATCATGATTCCCACTCTAACAGCAGCATCATCAGACAGCCCTAACCAATTCCATGAACTAATTATGAAACACCTTTTTGAGAAGGTAACAAGTACAGCTAGGAAAATAAGTTACGTTTCAGCAACTATTCTACTGCCACCTTGTGCTCGCTGCATGTGTAACTACACAGGGAAATTATCTTAATTTAACAGTTCTAGCTGAATGGCCTGGAGCGAAATAACTGTAGACATGGATACAGTGAACTCACCCGAAAAACAGTAATTGGAAGCAACTTACTCTGTGCAGAGTAACAAAGTGTCCTGAAAGGATCAGGAATACATATGTTGTTTCATATGCATATAAATAAGACAGTTCATATACTGCCCAAATCCTTTATTGTACAAAGAAGCAGTGAGATTGAAGACAAAATATTAAAGGATGGTGTTTGGGGAGTCAGCCGTGACAGTCACTGTGCATATCATCTTGCATATAATTTTGGAGAGACGGTTCATAGGAAACAAAAAGCAGGTCCTGCTGTTGTTAAGAATTGAGTAAATCCTTGTTTGGGATCATCTTGTGTTTTTGGTATCTGGGCTTCTATCAGACAAAATCAAAAAGAGGGGAAATATAAGAAAATAAGTATGAAAAGGTTTAGTGAAATAATACTGTTACAGAACAGATGCTCGCAGATGGAGTATTTATTATGTTGTTCCTAGAATAGTATTTTCAGTGACATCAGTGAAATTCTCTTGCCAATTTTTCGCTGCAAGTGAAGAACATCGTGAGGCTGGCTATATATAGTGGAGAAAGAAATAGGCAACCTCAAAATCTAAATCATTCAAAGGAATACCTTATCAGAATGCTGATAATTAACTGTACAGTCTAAAATAAGATTATGCAAGTTAGTTCCCTTTAATGATTTTCAGACACGAGATTTAGAAAATAGGAGAAAAACTATGGTGAAAAAAAAAAGAAATTTAATCCCTCTACCTTCATAATAATTTTTATAGTAACTTCTTGAGGAAAATTTTCTGAAATATTCCTCCATTTCTATCACCCCAGATTGCATATAAGGCAAATATTTTCAGAAAAAAAACCCCTGCATTTCTCTTTCATATTATAATTCAAATATATGCTTGCTCTATTGTGCTGGCTTTATAATGCAATGCAAACAGAAATGTGATCTTGAAAAATGAGAAGTGACAATATCTGCAGTTAAGAATTCATCTGCAAAGTGAAAACATTTTCTCTCTACACAGCAGATATGCGGGTTGCTTAAGACTTAAACGATTTCAAACTCTTAGGTTTTGTTTGTTTGCTTGCTTTTTTAAGGTAAGGTAAATAAAATATTTTGTGATGCTCCGCTCCAAAGATTGGTTTATATTCTACCATATAGTGTAATTTCTGCAAATACATATTCAGTAGAAGCTTGTCTCCTATCCTTAATGTCAGTGTGACTGCTTTTGAAAATTCCCTTCAGGTGTAATGACTTTTATTCACCTTTTTGCAGCAATCTCTGGAATCCTTTACAGACATAGGATGTTTTCCTATATGATTAGTACTAATAAAGTGGAAGAGGCCACACCAAGCCTCCAGCATTCAAATTTGTGCTTTAAATAGTGCAAGACTGTAGGAGTGCTATTTAAACCAGTGTTATGCTGCTCTTCTCTTTTCAGTATCTTGTGTTTAAATGAAAACGGGGCCACGGGATTTTTAATGAGTGTTTTATTATGAAGCCAAAGGTTTGTAGCAGTTGGCAATTTAATGAGGTGATAAATGTGCATAAACAGTTCCATGCTGCTCGCTAGAGAAATCTTAACAAGAAATGTACCATACATTATGTGAAGATTGGAAATTATACATAGCAAGAAGCATTCCTTTAGTTTAGGGGTGTATTTACATAGAAAACAAGAAGCTGGGATGAGTCTTTAATCTGAGGCCAGGATACAGGCTTCACCTAACTGCCTAGCAAGACTGTTACCATCAAAGCATGCAAATGCATTTGTCTTTACGGCTGCTGGGA